CGCCCAAATTCGTTTTTTTTTAAATAGAAGCCCCCATTTTTGATAATTTTATCTTATTCAGTATTGAAAATAAGGGCAAGTTTGCGTAAGGATGTCTAATCCAAAAGTGTTCAGTTTACGAAAAATTATCAATTTAATGTTTTCATGTGGCTATTTTGCCGCATCTTATTTTAAATGCAGTCACTCTCAGTTGCCATGACGCAAGTGTTCATTTGGGCCAATTTGTTTAGGATTTGAATTTAGAGTCTCCCAAAATTCCTCAAATTGACTTTGTGCATACGTGAATCTCAACGAAAATAATCGAATTTAATTAATAAATATGGAATTGGGCGGAAAAAACCTGTATGTTTCTAAATTCTATAATTTCGACATTTATTCTAAGACACCTAAAAGCTGCTTCTCTAACCAAAACCCATCTAAAACGTGAAGAATATTCCGATGAGACCCGAAGAACGGGAAACGCCCCGATGCGAGACCTTCGTCGGAATGCGTGGAATCCGACTCCGACAAAATCCAAGCGACAATCGGAGTCTTCTAACACGTTTTCGATGCGCATGAATACCGGTTTCGAAAGAATGTGTACTAAAGTTGCGTAAATGATACCATAAATGGAACACCGGATCTTCTTGTTTTGGCTGGATGGTGGTAGTTTTCGCATGTTGAATGAATCAAGTGAAATGCTTCAAGATGAAACTTTCGTTTTTTTTAAGCTTTATTTTAAATTAATACAATTTTTTAATATGGATTGTTAATTGCGACCGAACCTAACCGTAGATTGACTATCTTGAAGTTGAATGACTATCTTGAATTCTCGTTCCTGCTGTGGGTTATTTTATATCCTAATCATGCTAATCGAAGCAGAAACTATATTGCGTCTTATTTTAATTATATAATCGTCGTAAGTGGCCTATTAATTCTAAGTTTCGGGATTAACTCTACTATTCGTAAATATATTGATCGGTTCAAACTGTTAGTACTGTTATCCCTACCATCTATTTTTCGTTTATAAATCGCCGATCCACAGAATTCAGTGTGCTCGCAAGCAAATCGGGATGTATGAATGACTAGCTTCGCCTATTAAGTAATGTCTCTGTTTGACTCCAAGCACCTGAAGAGTAATGTTTTACTAATTATCACCAACGTTACTGACATCCACAACTTAAGACATAAGGTTATTAGTTGCAATATAGCGTAAATTATAGCAAGTGAAATCCGATGTAATTATTTAAAACACTATTTCCTTACCTTGAATACGGATAAATTGTCGACTTTACACTCTAGAGTAGCTTCTCTACCCACAGCTACTGTTATATTCGGAATGGGAGCCATAAAGTTGGGGTTCTCTAAAAAAAAACCATTGGTTATTATTATGATGTTTTTTATGCAATTTTTTTATGGCTATGAACACTTATTATTGACACTAAACCACTGTTTTATAGCTTTTATCCATTAAGTTTATATTTTAAGACCTAAAAATAAGTTAAGGGCAACACAATTTACTGCAAACAATTACTTTCAATTTTACTCAGAACATAAGTTTTTAATCAAAACCCAACATTCAAACTCTATATCTACTTGACATTGTCTGCGACACGTTACTAATTGAAAACTTTATTGCACTTGTAGTAATACTCCTTTAATAGTAATGTGTTAGAGTCGACAGGAATATATTTGCATAAAGGGATTTTAATGAGTTAGTAACACTGGCTAATTACGGAATTGAACTACAGCATTTCCATACCAAAGCGGTTTTGCTACAACGTAGTAGATAGATGACTTTAAAGAAATGCAAAGTGCGACAATTGAATACACATTTGAACAGTACCATTAAATATTAGTCTGAAGTTAGGAAGAACATAGGAATAACCACAGAAACACTAGTTAATTCTGTTGATATTATAGGGATGAGGTTAGTCTAAATGTAAATTAGAATATGGCGCACTTATATAAGTTAGTGCGTAAAATAATTTAATTTAATAAAGTTTCGAATCACCAAAGCAAATTTGTAGATACATTAATAATATGAAAATAAATATAAATATAAAATGATAAATTTGTTTTTTTTTAAATTAATCTTTTATCAAAGCGAATAGAAATGATTGTTTGAAGTTGAGACTAGAGTGTGAGATAGAGACACGAAAGTGTATTTATGTTCGATTATAGTCCATTTCACATTATGTAACCAAAAAAACCGATCCATATGGACAGGCGGAACAAGAACATGTGCTTCTATGTGACATTTCGGCTCCAACGTTAAGAGACAAAAACAAAGAAAAACATATCCTATACAGGGTGTCCCACGGGGAACCACCACAATCGATATCTGGAAAACTGTAATTAGGGAAATTTAAAAATTGGCAGTCTGCCGAAGTCATTGGAGACAAACGGTCTGAAATACTCTCAATATGGCCACACTTCCGGTTATACCGGAAGTAGGTATCAACTTGCTTATTTTAAATAGAACACCC